CCCGGAGACGGGCAGGCGCCGCGCGGAGGGGCGGTCTCCGGGGGGGAGGGGCCCTGCTTTCTGCTTGGCAGCTCCCTGCCTCGGCCCTGGGGTCTCGGGTACGCTGGAAGGCAGTGCTGCTCTGGGGGAAGGGGCCGGCGTGAGCTGGGAGCCGAACTGGTGCAGCAGCGGCGTCTCCGTAAGCCGGCCACGTGGGCCCGTGCCGGGTTCCTAGGCCGGGAGGGCAACGTGGGGCCTCCGGACCTTGCTTGGGGTCTGCGCCACCTGTCCGTGGTGTGGTAGCTGGGCCAAGAGAGCTGATGGCCAGAAGCCCCCCGACCGAGTGGGGCCTTGAGCCTGGTGCCCGTCCAGCCCAAGGCGCTGCCCTGAGGGGTTCTGCAGAGGCCTCTGGAAAGTACGGCGGTGGTGGGGGCGATGCCAGAGCCCCTCTGGGGAGTCCGCCTGCCCCCCGGGGTGCACTCTTGACTGGGAATGAATTCACCCCGCTGACCCAGAGACGCTGCGTGGACTGGCCGGGGAACCCACCGCGTTTGGTCCACGCCCTGCTTTGCCCCCTTTGCTTCTCAGGGCTCTTCAACTTACGGCAGATCGTTTTGGCGAAGGTGGACCAGGCGCTGCACACGCAGACGAAAGCGGACGCTGTGCAGGAATACGCCCGGCTCTGTGACGAGGTCCTGGGGGTTCCAGCCACCCCAGGTAACTGGCAGGGCAGAAGAGGCTGCCGGGTAGCATGGCATCACCGCTCCTGGCCCCTGGAAATACTTCAGCTCTCCCCTCGTTCTCTCGATACGCCGCTTTGGGTGGCAGACAATTGGCAAACAACGTGTGACGTATCAGCGACCTGTTAAAGCAAGGAATTCAGACCCAATAAATAGAGCAGCTGCATGAGGCCCACCTGAGTGCAGACCCTGCGGCTTTGGCCCATAGACCTCTGCCAGCCTCTGAACTGGTGAGGAAAGGGGGGCGTTCCTCAGGTTGCCCCAAAGTCTGCAGGAAGCAACCAGGTCCCGAGTCGGAGGCACAGCGGGGCTGCTGCGGGGTTGTCCTCGGGGAGCCTGGGCCCCACGAAGGAACGCCAGCAGCCTCTTTGGTGGCCGGGCCCTTATTCCTAGGAGGCCTGGCTTGTGGGGGGCCTCGTGGGGTTTGCCACCCTCCCGTCAGGGCCTTGTAAATCAAAGCCAGTCTCTTGGGTTCCACTGGGAGAGAGCCACGAAAAGTGAACCGGGCCTGGAAGACCTGCCAGGAGAGCCCTCAAAAGGTGCGTTGTGGGAGGCTCCTCTTGTTGCAAGCTGCCACCAGGCCTGCGGAAACTCTCACGCTGCCCTTTCATTGCCCGCTGTAAGGTACCAACATGCCGGCCACGTTTGGCCACTTGGCGGGAGGCTATGATGCCCAGTACTACGGCTACCTCTGGAGCGAGGTCTACTCCATGGACATGTTCTACACGCGGTTCAAGCAGGAGGGGGTCATGAGCTCCAAGGTACGGGAACCCACCTTGCCCTGGGCCTGGCTTGCTGAGGGCCTGCGCCGCGGGGAGCGCCTCCGAAACAGGAACGTGTCTTGCTTTTCGTAGGTGGGGCTGGACTACCGGAAGTGCATCCTTCACCCGGGTGGCTCGGTGGATGCCTCTGACATGCTGCTGCGATTTCTCGGAAGGGCCCCCAAGCAGGACGCTTTCCTGGAAAGCAAGGGGCTGGCCGTGGAGCCGAGCCCCCCGCCCTCCGCGTGCTGAGCGTCTGCTGCCCCCCGGGGCCTCTGGCGGCGGGACAGCAGCGGACGTGGCCCTCTCCCCACCGGGGGGTGCTGGTGGGCCTCGGCAGAATTAGGGTGTGCTCGGATTGGAGGGGCCTCTGCCCTTGCGCAGCAGGGGGATGGGGGGTGCAGCATTATTAAACTGCGGTTGAATTGCTTACCCACCCATGTTCTGTGCTCCTCCCCAATGCTGAAGGTCTTGCCTGAAAGTTGTGGGGAAGCTGCTACAAGGGTGAGGTGTGAGCCGAAGCAGCATGTTTCTGTTGGGTTTGAGCCTCGTTTAGGAAAAACACTTTCTCGGGGGAGTTTTTGGCCCTGCAAAGGCACAAGGAGGGCACAGGGCAGGGGGAGTGGGTGGGAGGGAGGGACATTCGGATTGCCCTGGGAGTGTGGCTTCACCCCCCCCCCCCGGGGGGGG